GGGGCGTTATAAATAACGGTCAATTCGTTACTAAAGAGTTTTCAAAAATTTGGCGGTAGGTGGTGTTGACTAGCTATTTTCTCTCTAGTCTATGACTTCAAAATTAGGGATAACTAGTGTAGAGAGCCCTCAAGTACCTTTGAGCGAAATTCAAACAAACAGATAAAGAAAGAGAAGAGGATATGAAAAAATGCCCTTTTTCCAAACATGCTACGTCTCTAATGACCAAACTGGATAACATAAAATATTTAAATAAAAGCTTTTAATATAATCACGAATACCACTAGATGTCGGGACAATCGTCAACGATTCCCTGGATGTTGTTGTTTGTAATTAAGCACAAAGCTACACAATGGGCTATCTGTGCTCTGCCCACCACGGGTATCGAAATCCGGATTCTAGCGTTGTAAGTCCGCAGACATACCGCTGTGCTACTGGGGGGCCGATTCCCAGGAAAGGTGAAAAAAGCCACATGATTTTGTTATACTTACAACCCGATGTGAAAAGCATTGAAATAAATTGGGATTTTTTTTTCTTTTCTTCAAGGAAAATCTGGCAAGGTTCTGCAAAGAAATATCCCATATTTTCATAAAAAAAAATACGGACTATTTATAATACAATCCATCATGTTTTCACTGAATATCAAATGTATTTAACAAACTTTTCCTTACTTGATACAGTTAAAAAGATTATTGACCTAATGACTTCCAGAGGATTGTGTTTGTGCTTTTTTCTTTGTTTGTTTTAGTACAAAGATACACAATGGACCACCTGTGCTTTGTACACCGCGAGGGGAACTCTTACAGCCATAGAAACAGCAAGTTCAGCGATATTATTCTGTATTAAATTTATTAGAGGCAGAAATTGATTAATGTGAGAAAATATGCATTATATAGAAGGCATATATATATGATCTAAATTTTTCCAGAAATATCTCTCTTTCGATAAGACGTTATCCACTTTTCAACACCAATATAGGTTTATTTAAGAGTTAAAATTTGGGATACTAAATGTAAATTGGTTTGGATATCATATTAGCAACTTATGGGAAATAACCCTTTGTTTGAAATGGTACACCTCTCACTCGGTGTGTGAGAAGTGCCAGGTTTGAACCTGGGAGAAGCAGAACGTTAAATTGCCACATACTTTCTAAAGAAAAGTGTAAGTTTTGTTTATATTAGCAGTGGTTTCGGAGTATGGGATCTTTGTTCACTCATGGAGAAGAATTTCCTAAATATCTCCTCTCTCCTCGAAATTCCTGATAAAACACACGATGAAGTATCTTTTGAAAACTTGTCTAGATTTCTGATGAAAAGTTTTACCCGAGAATCTCCTCTTTGAAAAATATCTAAATGAAACACACACCAAAGAGCTTCTTGAAAATTTCTTTTATTTACATTTCTGATAAAAAAAAAGGAACACGACAAATACTTTCCAATGATTTTCTATTTACATTTCTGATAAAACCCATAACAAAGAGTTTCCTGAAGGTTTATTCTTTTATGAAACACGTTAAAAAAAATCTCAATAAGGTTTCTCCGAGACAGCTTTTGATAAACAATGAATGAAGAGTAATTAGATAATCCTTTCTGTGATAGCTTCCAGATGAACCTCATAATGAAATTTTCTCTGGAATTTCTCTTGTGGATACTTGATCTGTGTAATTATTGATGATTTTCTACACCACATATACTGCTGATATGGAAATATGTAATTCAAGATGGAAGTCGAAGACATGATAGCCCTGTAATGTAAACCAAATAATAAAATCGAAGAACGTAAAAGTTTTTTTTGTATGTGATAATAGTAATAACAACTGACTCATTCTGTTCATAAAATATATTGTATTAGCTTAGTTGACGGATTTTTATAAATCATCTGATGAGAATAATTCAACATCCAGTCCACGTAATGATCACGGATTATTTTATTTCATTTTTAAGTTTCTACAAGTTTGGAGTTTGTACACTGCCGTAAATTGTTGTAAGCCTACGTTATAAATGGCGTTCACACTGAACTACACTAATGTCAACAAAACCAATTTACTTGTACGAAGTAACTCAATAAGCGTGATAACTAACACAGGTCCAAATACTTCACAAAACACAATGGCTGATTCAACTTTACAATCATGAAACAATTCCCCATACATTACAACTATCTCGTATTTATAATCTCAGTGCGGATGAGCTAGAACAAAACCTGACGTCAACTGGACAGCCAACTTAACTCATCATTTACAATCCGCAAATCCTTCTAGCTAACAAACAAATTACAACAGTAAAAATATTACTTATAACAATGTATAACCTTCCCTAACTCTAAAACCCGAAAAAAGAAACAGAAAGTTGAAACTTTTTCTGTTTAAAGGTTAAACCAGAAACTGGAACATTTGAATACGATCTATTACTAAATACGTGAGTATATTCAAATTATTATACCATCCAAATCACTGAAATACGAAGAGATAGTCAACTTATACATCTGCGATATTTATGTTAAAGATTTGTTTGTAAATAAGCACAAATCTACACAATGAGCTATCTGCCCTCTGCTAACCACATGTATCGAAACTCGGTTTCTAATTTGTAAGTCCACAGACATGCCGATGTGGGGCGTTATGCTGAAAAAGGATGGACAAATTGTAATCATTACGTCACAGCTTGGGTGACGCCCTTCCCTGTTGATAAAAGTTTTGATATCTAACCTTAAATATTTTAAATTACAAAAAAAAATGTTTAAAATATTCAAACTGAAATATGTCATTAACAAGAAGATCAATACGACGATTAAAAAAATCGGGCGTTTCTAATTATACAAGTTAATCCTAAAATCAAATTACTTAATGTTTCTAACTGTCTCGCTACTCTCGGTTCCCCTACCTTATAAAACAGAATCTACAGTTCGGACAGAATTGATCTAAGTTAATACACAAACACTACCTTCATCTTAAACTCGGAGTAATTTTTAAACCCACTTGAGGATTAAAAGACTTATTGCCGTAGAAAGACAAACTATTACTTGTCTTGCTCTCATGGGTCTAATAAGTACACGTGTGGGGACTGCAGAGCCATCTACATTGGCAACACTAAACCACACCTTGATGTTAGATTATTTTAAAATTCTGATAGAGAATTATTAACCAAAGTCATCAAATATAGGCCTACCGTTAATCAAACCGCCAGCTCCTATCAATTAAATCTGTTTTAATTGTTCACTTCTCTTTATTCACTACTATTTTATGTCTATATACATGATACTCCCTTTACTTATTTTCTTTTTCAATTTTAGTTTGTTACATTAAACGTAAGAGTATTAGTTTTTACAGAAAATCGCTGAAGATCAATAATGTAGAATCCGAAATAAAATATTTATTTTCACTTACGTCTTGATCTTCTTACTGAAATTACGATTCCCTACGATTGAATCCATTGCCAGTATCTTAACACGAGGATATATCAACTTAGTCTTTTACACTTTTCGTGTGTGACAATCTTGATTTCAGAAAACAGTTCCTTGCCGACTGTAAACATTACTTAGTTATACCAAAACAGTCCCTTGCCGACTGTAAACATGACATAATTATACCAAAACAGTTTCTTGCCGACTGTAAACATGACATAATTATACCAAAACAGTTTCTTGCCAACTGTAAACATTACATAGTTATACCAAAACAGTCCCTTGCCGACTGTAAACATGACATAATTATACCAAAGCGCCTTGAGTTCAAGTTATCTGGTCTACAGATCTGGTTGGGAATTTGAATCTTTTGGGTACCTTTCCTATCTTCTCAGATCCTGTGATTTTTTGTTTTATTTTTATTTTTAGGATAGTGTCTGCTTGAAGTTTACATGGGACAATCAAAAGAAAGAACGTCAAGAAGACCTTAATAAGTAGCCCTAGCGGTGACTTTCTATTTGGCCTTTTTCTGGCTCGCTTCCTTGGTGGCTGCTTTCTCCAGGGGAAGGAGGTCAATAGATTGTTGTGGTTTTTCGCAAAGCTTTTGTCCACAGTTCTCAAACCAGCAGTAGGGTGAAAGAGAATTTCGTATTTTGGGCGCCCCCTGTTTCCTTAAACCTAAATACTTGCCACGGAAAGAAAGAAAGGCTCTCGTACATCCTAACATAGCCTTGGATGTTCAAACTTACTATCTCTTTCTGCAGTTATAATTGTCACACACCTCACTCGACTTTCCTGAACTCTCTTGGAAGAAAAACATCATTGTTGCCTGACCTGACAAAGGTCATAGTATTGTACTTCCAGACAAAACGGGCTATATATATGCCCAAAATAACTTCTCTAGTGGAACATAAAAATAAATCCAACAGCCTGAACTTTAACCCCTTGCAACGTGAAGAGAAACTTTAAATCTAACGCTGCCTTTGACATCTGAAAAAAACCAAACAATTATTTCTTCCACTAGCTTTAAGTATCCTTGTGGTTCCGTACCAGTGTCCTATGTAGTATATCTAAGCCCTCCAGTGGCACAGCGGTATGTCTGCGGACTTACAACGCTAGAATCCGGGTTTCGATACCCGTGGTGGGCAGAGCACAGATAGCCCACTGTGTAGCTTTGTGCTTAATTACAAACAAACATACAAGCATATTTAAAATACACAAAACTAACTTACACCTAAGCCTCATCGGCTCTCATGCTTACAATCTAAGGTTTCGGTTCCTATTTTAAGCCCATTAATTGCTAACGATTTTACTATTATATATATATATGTGTTTCTTTTTCCAAAGAAATCAACGCTTTTCAATCCTTTAAAAATTCTGTGATGAACACCTTTGATATTCCTCCTTTGTCACTAACATAATGAAAATCACAGTTTTTTCCCCCAAGACCTAAAATGGTCTAAACCAATCACAGCTATACAAACTCTTTATCGTCGCTACCAAAAATATCCCCTACTGTTTCAACAGCAAACTGTATGACCAGATAGGTGGCGTTGCGATAGCCTCGCCATTATTTCCTACATTCACCCATGCCTTTCTTTGTTTTCACGAACCCTCGTGGCAAAGAGATTGACCTACTGGTACTAGCTTCAAAGTTGTCCTTTAAATAAGGTATGTGGACGATACTTTTGTTATTCCCTCTCGAATTTAAACCCACGACATTTGAATATACAATTTAACTGTGAATTAGAAGATAACACTTTCATTTGTAGAAATCCTTGTTGTACCAAGAATTGAAAAAAAAAAAAACCCTAACTATTTCTGTACATCTGTTTATCACAAGAAAACTTTTACTGGTCTTTTTAGATTAAAAAACAAATATTCGATAAAGTTGCATTATTCAATAATCAAGAGTGAGGAAGTAGTTTGGTAAATATTTAATACTGTTCAGTAAAATCCTGGTAAATCGCAGGCCGTTACATACACACCAAGGTCAGATAACGTTTACGAAATCCTGTGAGGTCAAAAAGTCGCATGCATGTTCGCTAAACACCATTTGGGGGAAGGAGCACTTTTACAACTTTTGACAATTTTATTCCCTCTCATTACATACAAAACCTTATTTCTTGTCTTCACGATAGACTCTAACGAAACCTAGACTAAAATCGGCTTTTTACTCAACATCTTGAAACAAAATGAATAACTTCAATCCTTGCTAGAAAAACTCGCACCAGATTCAATCCTAAAATCAAATTACTTAATGTTTCTAACTGTCTCGCTACTCTTGTTTCCCCCTACCTTATAAAACAGAATCTACAATTCGGACAGAATTGATCTAAGTTAATACACAAACACTACCTTCATCTTAAACTCGGAGTAATTTTTAAACCCACTTGAGGATTAAAAGACTTATTGCCGTAGAAAGACAAACTATTACTTGTCTCGCTCTCATGGGTCTTAACAGATACACGTGTGGTGACTGCAGAGCCATCTACATTGGCAACACTAAACGACACCTTGATGTTAGATTATTTTAAAATTCTGATAGAGAATTATTAACCAAAGTCATCAAATATAGGCCTACCGTTAATCAAACCGCCAGCTCCTATCAATTAAATCTGTTTTAATTCTTCACTTCTCTTTATTCACCTCTAAATATTTCCTTGCCCCTCTTGTTGTTATCCTCCAGTGGGTCATAGGTAAGTTTACGGAATTACATCGCTAAAAATTTGGGGTTCAATTCCCCGCGAAGGACAGTGAGCTGTTATTTTTTTCTTCCAATTATATGTCCATTAAATTTTATTATATTTTTCGATTTTAGTTTGTTAAATTAAACTTACAACTTATTTGTTTTCACAGAAAAATCGCTGAAGATGGATAATGTATAGTCCGAAAAGTCCGATATAAAATTTTTATTCTGTCGTCCTTGCCCTCTTGCAGTATTTCGTACATTTTGCAGGATATTTACGGACATTCTTCTAAAGTATATTTGTGCATATACAAAAGCCCTTCCCAGTGGCACAGCGGTATATCAGCTTATCTGAATTCTGGGAAGATTCTGTTTAAACTGGAAGTGGTACTTTTCCGGCTCTCGTTTTTGTGTTGTTTGGAGAAAAGACTAAATTAACTCTCTAAAATATAAAATAAAATATTTATAATCAAATGGCCTGGTAGTGAAGGCGCTCGACTCCCAATCTGAGAGTTGTGGGTTCAAACTCCTGTTACCCCCTATCAGTTGTGGATGCGATGTAATGTAACGGTCAATCCCACAGTTCGTTGGTAAAATAGTAGCCCAAGAGTTGGCGGTGGGTGGTGTTGACCTTCTAGTCTATCACTTCTAAATTAGAGATGACTAGCGCAGATAGCTTTCGTGTAGCTTTGTGGGAATTCAAAACAAACCTAACTCCAATAAAAAATGTATTTATTTATTTATTTATTAATTACTCAGTAAATACCAGCGACTTTTCTGACTTAACCAGTTCAATAGGTCGTTCGTATTAGAAGTCGTCATTGTAAACTTATATCTCAATTTTGATATTTTTAATTTTATTGTTTCTTTTCATATATTGTACATTATTAATGAAGAATATGAATTTTTATGCGGAATTTACTTTTAATGACATCTGTTACACGGTTTTCCTCATAATTTTCTGCCTTATCTGGAAAACAAAAGTCCTCTTTATCGAAGGAGTCATGCGCACGCTCTGATCGAACTACTTCACAATTAAAAGGAAAATTACTGTTTATTTTTTTTATCTCGGCTTCTCTCGCTAAACGTGTTTTATTTAGAATATATATAATAAAAGATCGTAAGTCTAATGTGCTTTATTAAAATAAGCGAAATCCGGAGCCCATAGAATGCGCCCAGACAAAACCAAATTCTATTAACACTGCGGGTCGCAGGTTCGAATCCCGTCACCAAGCATGTTCGCCTTTTCAGCCGCGGGGGCGTTATAATGTAACGGTAAATCCCACTATTCCTTGGTAAAGAGTAGAAAAGGAGTTGGCGGTGGGTAGCGTTGAATAGCTGCCTTCCCTCTTGTCTATCACTTATAAATTAGGGACGGCTAGCGCAGATAGCCCTCGAGCAGATTTGCGCGAAATTCAAATCAAACAAATCCCTTCGTCGCAAGTCTGAAGGCTTATAACGCTAAAAACCGGATTTAAATACCCGTGGTGGGTATAGCCCATTGTGTAGGTTTGTACTTAACTATAACAAACCACAAGAGCCCCAAGCCCCAGTTTTAATACTTCATGTATCCCACCTCATCCAATCTTTTGTAACAAATAGAGATGTGCTTGCGCGGGGACCTCGAAACTGTTCTGTTTCAAGAGTAAATAAAACCAAAATAAAAGTAACAAATATTTGTATTTCTTGCTTTTTAAGTTCATTTGTTATGTTGTAGCCAACAGAGGGCATAATTCTTCCCGTCATTCATGGCATGCGCACGTTTTACTGACATCACAACAGGACAAATAGCAAATTTAAGCGTCTCTTATGTAACGCCATTTTTAGTGTCTACTGACTGACTAACAGACAACACGCCACTGTTCAATAGTGCGAGTGTTTAAAACAGGTGACCCCCCTCCAAGTGGCCTTTGAGGGGAAATAAGTTATTACCTTATGTAATCAAGCGTGTCGGATATAATCTGTAGTATTGGGATATGCTGTGATCATCTTCGCCGTAAGGCGGGTAATTTTCACGGTCAGTGCACGCTCCATTTCACAGAGGCCAAGGAATACATCTAGTTTCATACTCCGTGTCACTGAAAGCGAAATATATAAAAAATAAATATATGTATGCACATAGAATACTGGTAATATCGGTTCCAGTGTTACTGTTGCATACTTTATATGAACCTTTATTATTTGGGCGTGCCTGTCCTTGTTACAGCGGCCCTTACGGCGATTTTTCAAACTTTCATCGACTGACCTCCTTTTCTCTGATTCTGATCCAAGTTTCTTTGCTGTTACTTTAGCAACAGCCGCGACACTTGAAATTCTTTTAGGCAGGATTAAAGTAAATTAATCTATGAGACTTTGTTTGTTTTTTTTTCATTTTTATTAACTAAATTTTAGTGCACTATCAACAAACACCAAGCGTGGGGCGCGCTTATATTAGATTCGATTTTATTACTCATCAGAACCTCTACTAACCTACCCTCAAATTGAGAAACTTTTAGGCAGGATTAGAGTAAATTAATATATGAGACCCTGGATGGGGGACAAATACATCAATCGAAAGGGTATGACCGCCTGGGTCCAAAACAGTAACTAGATTTCAAATCGGTCAAGAGATGACGGAGCTTTGAGCTAAAAGTTGGTACTCAAAAAAAAAAAAAAAAAAAAAAAA